AATCAACTTTTGGAGGTATATTCCAGTAGTTTAGTGTCAGGATTAGAGCCGACAGGGTGTTTCCTTTGTGTGTGTCACATTTTTATTTTCTCCTTGATTTATTTCATGGTGAAGCATTTTTAAAAGCCAAAAATCAGATAAGATGAGGTTGAAAATGAGGAACTTTTTGTAAATGTTTGTTTTTAAACGTTTAAAAATGAAAGCTCTCAGCAGGTGAAGAAACAGTCATGTGACCTTACCTCCATATTTGGTTTTAAAGAGATATCACGTAAACATCAACAAAACATTTTTTCTTTTTACACTTTAACACAGCAAAGCACCCTGCAGAGGGGTCAAAGAGCAGTAGATCCAAAAACAGTTGATAATCGCAGTTGGTAAAACAGCGCCCCCTGGTGGGGAAGCTTCTGTTATCTTCCACAGACCTCAGAGAGCGATTAAAGAGATCAAATATATGACTAAACCTTATAAATGCTCCTGTAGTATACCTGAAAAATCTTTCATATAGTGTATAAGGCAATGGTGTGAAACATAAGGCCCGGGGGGACCGCTGGACCACTTTGTAAAATAAGTAGGAGGACGTATATTTATTATGTTTTTAACTTTTCATATGTTTTGCAGCACGTAGAAAGCTGAGACATACTGTAGAAATTGCCCCTTTTTTCTTTTTCTAAATGTGTAATTAAACTTTGTTGGTTGGAGTTTCATTGATTGGCCCACGGTGGATCACTAAGTCCGTGTAAAATGAGTTTAACATCTCTGGGGCTGATGATGATGCTGCTGATGAAGGTGTCTGTCTGAATGCGACGCTGTGTCTTGTCCAGGCAGAGAGGTGCCTGAGCTGTGGGACGTCGGCTCCATCACGCCGCTCTTCAACCAGACCATCGTGGAAGGACCGCACGCAGGTCTGTTTACTGGTTTGTGACGGATTCATTGACGACCAGCAGGTGGCAGATTCAAACAAACAGCAGATCAGTGTAGAGATCATTAGATCTTCTTTTTCATTACTTTCTTCTTCCCCACTTTGTCTTTCTGAACCAGCTAACATCTCCTTCCGGCTCCCTGTCGGTGAGTACATCAGGACCTTTAACAGGCCCGTTCAAGCATCTGCTGTCATCAACCAGACGCTCGAAGAGCCGCTTAATTCTCCTCTTCAAATTGTCTATTTTAAATCTCAGAATGGCACCAACTGCCCACGAATCTGAGTCACATCTCTCCATCTGGGATGAGCTCCATGCTAACCAGCAGAGTCCATTCAACCGCACATGGTGAGTCTCTGCAGGAGGCCGGCGTTCAGCGTTTGGCTCGTCTTCACAGCTCGATCTGTCAGGAAGTTCGGGCCAGACTCGGTTTCCAAAGTTTAATCAGGATTAAGCTTGTTTATCTCTGATGTTCACAACCAAATGTGTAAAAGAAAGAACTGGAAGCACATTTAAAAGGATATGCGTGAATGAACACTAAATAAAAGAGATTGTTCAGGTTTTTAAAAATATAATGAAGTCAGTCAGATGCTAGGTTTTAATTTTTAGGAGAAATTGTTTGTGTGAGAAATACGAGGAAGACCAAAAAGATCTTTGAGCACACGGAGCGACTGCAGCCATGTTCAGTGTTGGGGAGTAACGGAATACATGTACCGCCGTTAAGTATTTAAAATACAAAATATGAGTAACTGTATTCCGTTACAGTTACCGTTTAAAAAGGTGGTATTTAGAATACAGTTACTTTGTTGAAATAAATGGATTACACGGCGGTACTTCCCTGTTTCATATTGTGGCGGGTCAGGACTGTTTGGGTTTTGTTTGACAGCTACGTTCTGTTGTTCCAGGCCAGCTACGGTTGCCATGGTTACAGGGTGACTCTCTCTCTGCGTGTTTCCTGGGTGAGAGAGGCCTTGTTGTTGTTGTTGTGCTAAGCTAACAGGCAGAATGCTACAGGCATAGCTCTAAAGAATGTAGCATCATGGGCAGTGTAGTCCGTGCTGCAGGGAGAATGGACTGCCATACCCGTTATGTGTCTGTGAGCGAGGGAGGGAGAAAAAGGAAAAGTACGAGCTGTCATCGAGCAAAAACGGGAGCTGGAAGCATGTAAATATAATAATAACCACTGCAGCCAAGAAGAGAGCCTGACGAGCCCAGTTGTAAGTAAGCTATTAAGACTCGACTGTACAGCGTGTTCGTGTTTTCCTCTAAAACAATAAGTTCTGTTGGAGCAGCCTTTCAACGCCTCTCTCTGTCTCTGCTAGCAAAGTTGACCCAGACAACAAAGTAAAGCTAGTTTTCAGCTACGAGCCGACACAGAACCCACCGTATTAGCCAGAGGTCCCTTTACTACGGTTCGGAGCCGCGGACCTTCAGTAACAGTAATAAATCACAGCAATAGTACATTCATGTAGTTGTAAACAGCATGATAATATATTAAGTAATCCAAAGTATTCAGAATACGTTACTCTCATTGAGTAACGTAACGGAATATGTTACAGAATACATTTTGGGGCATGTAATCTGTAATCTGTAATGGAATACATTTTAAAAGTAATCTTCCCAACACTGGTCATGTTATTGAGCTGTGAATCTCAGCAGAGTGTGTCGCTCTCTCCGTGGTCGAGTCTCGTGTCACATGATTGAGAAACATTAGTTATTGGCTAAAGGAAGCGATGCGTCTGTGCGTCACACTGTTTTACAGCCAGTGTCATATGATGTACGTTGTTACCTGTTCAAGCCTCCTGTGCGCTTTTTTTCTTGTTGTGGTTCTGATGCAGGTTGATCTTAGCTTCATATGTTCATTGTTGCTCTGCCTCTGTCCTTGAGACTCAGCACTGGTTTGCATCTCAGTGTGAAACTGTCTTCCCTGTGCTTGGATACAGATACCTTCTGAAGGGTGTTTCTTTCCTGTAAAGGTGTGGGGTTTTTTTTTTTCATGGAAAAGATCCTGTGATCATCCCCCATCTGGTCTTCTGTGGTCATCGAGCCTTTTTTAATCCTGTAATGTACTAAAATGATGATCTGACCACTGATGCTCCCACTCGCTGTCTCTCGGTTTGCTTTGTTTGTTTTTGGTGAAGTTTAATGAAGTAGTTTTGTTGTTTATTGTTGTTGTTTGCTGTTTATATGACTGTGTACAGATTACAGTTATATGCATAGGTTCTGTTAAACGTTTAAATTGCATGGACACAGTGGAGAGGTCCAGTTTGCTGAGGTGGAGTCGAGGACACCTTTAAGCCTTTAAGTTTGCTGACTCAGGCAGTAAACGTGTTTATTTTTTAACACGTGGTTCTGTTTTCAGTCCCGTGATGGCTGCGTCCTGCTTTCACTCTTGTGGAGACAGAAAATTGAGTCTATTTCTTTCTCTTGGTTTATCAGCTTCACCAACAGCTGTGGATGAAGCAGCTGCATCTACAGCGAAGGTCACCACAGCTCAGCCGCTCACAACGGCTCCGCAGCCTACGACCGTCACGCCTCAGAGTTACACTACAGCCGAAACGCCGGAGACAACCCAGCAACCCACGGCACCAAGCATGACCGCAAGAGCTGTAACAGCACAAAGGGAGACCACGCCCACTGTGGCATCTTCTCAGAGTGGAACTAGAGAGGAAAAAACAACTTTAGCACCAATTACAACCTTAAAACAGCGAACCACCACCGCCGCCGCTCCGACTGCTGCAGCTCCCACCACAGCAGCACCACGATTACCCACGACACCGGGCAGAGCTTCAACCTTCTCACCAGCAGTTAGTCTGATCCGCACGCCGGCGTCTACAAGCACAGCAGCCCCGCACACGACGTCCACAGTTCATCCCACGAGACTTCCACCTGTGCGAGCCACAGCAGGACCCACGGTGCCCAGGAGGACTACAGGGCCTCTGGTTAGAACTACAACTCCCAGCAAGCCGACGGAGAAACCAGGTAAACGATTTGTTCTTTCAGATATTTCAATATGAATTATTTTGAGGAAGATGCTCGTGTGTGTTTCTCAAAATAAAAAAGATGAAATGTGGCAAATAACCAGAATATAAAATCAATAAAACCAAAACTGCACCAGAGGAATACATGAGAGAAAATCTGGACTTCTTTAAGTTTCTTGGAGACGTTTCTCCTCTCGTCCGAGAAGCTTCTTCAGTTCTGAAGAAGTTCTCACAGTTTTACCTGCTGGACAGGCGAAGATGGCGACGGCTTCACTGTGACCCATGATGACGGCTTGTTGGGAAACATAAGGACAGACGAGTGATTTTATGTCGTTATTGATGAATGGATACGGAGGAAATCAAACATGGAGACCTGTGTAACATCACTGGAGCCACAGTTTGACTCCGCCCACTGACCTGCTCTCACAAAGCGACTCTAATCGCATCGCAGCCCTCCTTTGTCATTTCTGGACACACCAGCGGCACTGATTCAATTTCAACCCGGAGAAAGGTGTGCATGTGTGTGTGTGTGGCACGGGAAGCCATGCTGCAGATAGTAACCATGGTAACGCAGGATCGCAGCCTCCTGTGTGAAAGCTTTCATGGGTTTTAAGCTGCAGAGGTTAAAGTCAAATTAAGGCCAAGCGTTCAGCGTTTATCCGTCTGCTGCACTCGGCGCAAACCAGGAGCTCGTTATGGAATTCCATAATTACATCGTGAGGAAAATAAGCACTGATTCAAATGTCAACAGTTTCCAGTCGTTAACGTACTTTAAGACAATTTTATGTGACAATGGATTAAAATATGTGAAATGCACATTCACTAATTGAATATAGTCTAATTTGCATAAATAATAATAGTCGATAAAGTTGAGACTGTAGAAAAACAACAAACATCCACTTTCTTACATTTCTCCAGTTCAGGGCCACGCGGGGCTGGAGCATTCCCAGCTATCATAGGTCAGGGAGGAAGACGGGGCATACAGAGGCAACGTTCACACTCACTGCATGTGTTTGACTGTGGGAGGAGGCTGGAGAACTCCCACACACTCCCACAGAAAGGCCCTGGGCAGGATTCAAACCCAGGACCTGCTGGGACAGCCTTTGTATATTTTCTTGGATTTTTGAACGGCCGATTATCATGACATGACGGGCGGCATGGACATTGAAGTGTGTGAATGTAATAACGAGAGAACGAGGTGACATAGGAGCATCTATACAATGGGTGTATCTACTAAAAATCTCTGACAAGTTTGAAGGCAAGGCAAGGCAAGGCAAGTTTATTTGTATAGCACAATTCAACAACAAGGTGATTCAAAGTGCTTTACAGAGACATTAGAAACAAAAACAAATAAAAAGCA